TTTTCGGTTAAGGCGGTGCACCTGGAAGCCGCCTTCTCGTTGTCCACCGACTCCTTCCTCGCTGCGCTACGATGCTTTGTGGCCCGACGCGGACGCTGCTCGCTTCTCTACAGCGACTGCGGAACGAATTTTGTAGGGGCCGCACGGGAACTAGAAAGCCGCATGAGCCTCGCGGCGGAGCGAGAGAAGATCAAGTGGTCCTTTAATCCTCCCTCCGCGCCCCACTTCGGGGGCCTCTGGGAGGCGGGAGTCAAGACCTTTAAAACCCACCTGCGGCGGACCGTGGGTGATCAAGTCCTCTCAATAGAGGAATTCACGACGGTCCTCGCGCAGGTCGAGGCCGTCTTGAATTCCAGACCCCTCTGCCCGATGAGCACCGACCCTGCCGACCTCGAAGTCCTATCGCCGGGTCACTTCCTCACGATGGAACCGCTCGTCTCCGTTCCCACTCTAGACGTGACCCCGTTACCGATGAATCGGCTGAGTCGGTGGCAACTCGTCCAACGAATACACCAAGACTTCTGGAAGCGCTGGCATCAGGAGTATCTCCATACGCTGCAACAGCGTCCCAAATGGTTGACCTCAGTCAACCCGCTCGGTGTCGGTGCGTTAGTCCTCTTCAAGGACGCCAACATGCCTCCTCTGCGTTGGAGGCGAGGACGAGTGGAGGCGCTGCATCCGGGCAGCGACGGCGTCCCGCGTGTCGCCACGGTGCGGGTGGCGGACGGCACGATCACGCGTCCCCTAGTGAAGCTGTGCCCCCTACCGATGGGCCCTGCTCCACAGGCGACCGATTCAAATTGAAAGTAAAATACAACTCGTTGTATTTTGGTGGGCGGTATGTTTGGCGCTCACCAAACTGTAGATAGATGCATGTATCATACTTAATTGTTTAGTCTCGTTACTCGTTGTACATAGTATTCTTGCGTACCTAGCCTTAAGTATTTCGGTGACTCGCGCGAAACGTCGGCGGATCGCGATCAACGCGGAATCGATAATTGCGCGACTCACCAATCGGTGCTGCCCTCGCTCACCCCACGAGGGCACCCGCCTGAAGAACAAGTACTCGCTCGCGACACTGTTCCAGCGCCGCGAGCTCTCGGCCCTCATCGTTACGCCGGCTCATCGTTACGACGTCTCGGAGCACGGAAAGATTATCGGAGCAGAGAGACTTGTGCTAATATTCGGAGTCGCGAGATCATCCGCTCGCTCCCGGATAGTGCGATCGCCTACTTTCTCGGCCTGTCTGTGTGCTACCTTTACCTGCTTCCTCCTGCTTGCTTGCTGCCTGCCTTAACTTACTGCTGCCTGCCTCGCTTTCGCCTTGCTTGCTGCCCTGCCTGCGTTGCTGCACGAGCCCGATCGCGACCGAGACGAAGCCTCCAGGAGTCGACGGCACAACGAACGGTGAGTCGCATTTGCTTAACTTAACTTTCGCTTTGGGGAGACTTTACACATCTCCCCTGGTCCTTCGAGCTTCGCTTTATCGCAAATCCGGGTACGGCTCTACCGCCCCCCGAGCATCTGGTCCTTCGAGCCGGATATCATATCTTCGCGATTAGTCTATTACCGCCGACCTTTCGCGTGTCCTTTCATTGTTCTAAGTCACCGAATTTTTCTGTAACGCGTAGTGCAATAGCGCGTGACCTTGCGGGTCTCGCAGGATCTCCCGTATCGCAACGCTCGCTTCGCGAAGGGAATTCTCGCGTAGCATCGCGCAATCGGCCATTAGCCGCCTGTAATCTACGCGAATTCGCTGAATTCATATTCTCGCATTAACGAGGTGCAATAACGCTCGGCGTGCTGACAACTCGTGTCTTGCGCGGTATCTCTCGTGCAACGCTAGCTTCGCAACGGGAATACGCGTGCGAACTTCGTTCGTCATAGCTCGGGCCGCAGCCGTTAATCGCCTTAAAATCGAATCCGCGCTAGCCGCGGTAATTAGTCGCCATTTGATTGATTTAATCCTAACCGAAATATTCGGTCGAATATCCGAGTATTCCGGGCCAGCGATACTTTCGCGCATAGAGACAACGGCCGTGGCCTTCGATTACGGGCCGGTCTCGCGCGCGTTGTTTTTCTGTATAGTCTCGAGCATCGCTCGTGTTTACTTCGTTGCGAGGTACGTACCGCCCGACCCAGCACTTGTATTATCCCGACATTCGTGATCCGTCCGAGAGTACCATCGCTCGGAAATATTATTGTCACCGATCGAGAATATTTGCCTTTCGAACTCTGCGACGCGTGTTTATCGCGCTAATCCAACGGCTGATATTCTCCGCGTTCAACTCGAGGAGTATTATCGAGAATATTCCCTCGGGACTTGCGCGAGCACCGAACGGGAGCCGTCCGTTACCCCTCACCTTGGCGACCTGACTTTCGTGATTGTTTTCGCCGGGTTTCGATATTGTTGGTTCGAGTTGCCGTCGCCTCCGACTGCCTATTCGTCGTTTACCCTTCGCTCTTAGCTTCGTCTGTCTGTGGTGGACGACCCCTTTGTTACATCATGTCGAAAAACGCATATGCTCGTCGCGAAGTATGCAATCGGCGTATGCAAGAAATACACGACCTCTCCCTACAAGCCGCGACCGACGCGGCAACACGAGCGACCTTCCTCGCTCGCTACTCGAGCGTAGCGAAGATCGCGGACGATTTTGAGGCCACCCACCTGAAGGTCATCCAAGAAGCGGCGGATTTCGAGGTCGAGGACGAAATCCGAGCCAGTTTCGATAAAATGCATTACGCCGTAAAAAGTCGATATCACCGTGAAACGGGCGCGCCATTCAGAAGCGCGCCGGCACAGCCCTCGGGTCAGACCTCGGTGGTCAAGTTGCCTAAGATCCCGCTACCGCAGTTTTCCGGCGACCTTACGTTGTGGCCTTCCTTCATCGCGTTGTTCAACGCGTCGATACACAACCAGCAGATTTCCGCGATAGAGAAATACCAGTATCTGCTGGCTTCACTCAAAGGGGAACCACTCAACGTGGTGAAAAGCCTGCCGTTTTCCGATGAGTACTATCTGATCGCTTACGACTCGCTGGTCGATCGATACCGGAATAAGAGAAGGTTAGCGGACCATCACTTGAATTCGATAATCGAGGCAAAGCCATTGAAGGCGGAGACGGCCGAGGCTCTTCACCACTTATTAGATACGTTTACCGAGAACACGCGCGCGCTCGCATTGATGAAGTTCCCTACCGATTCATGGGACTTTATCCTACTGAAGTTTTTGTTAGACAAGCTTCCTCGTTCCCTTCGGGAAAAATTCGAGTCGGCTCACCTGGCTGAGGAGATACCGCGATATACACAACTCACGAAATTTCTAGCGGAGCATTGTCAGGTTCTCGAGGCCGTCGCGGGCCCGTCCTCCAAAACCAAGTCCACACCGGTCTCTTCGTTCGTGACTAACGCGGCCGGTTGCCCCGTTTGTAAGGAGTCTCACTACGTGTCGAAGTGCTCCCAGTTTTTAAAACTCTCGCCGAGGGAGAGGCAGGCTAAGGCTCGCGACTTGAGATTGTGCCTCAACTGCCTGCGCTCGGGGCATGGCATGAAAGACTGTCCGTCCGCGTGGGCATGTCGGTCCTGCGGCACGAAGCATCATACGCTTCTGCATTACGAGCAGAGCTCTAATACTACTCCTAAGCCCGAACCCATTAGCGCGACTCCCGCCGAACCGGACGCCGTACCCGCTCCTCAGTCGGAGGATGCGCCGATTGTAACAATGACTAGCCGGGCCAATAGAATCGTCCTCCTGTCCACCGTACGAGCCGAGGCAATAGACGCGCGTGGCAATGCGTTCCCCGTACGCATATTGCTGAACAGCGCGAGTCAGGCCAACTTTATTACCGAGGGCTGCCTCCGGAAGGGCGGCTTTCGTCGCACCAAACACAGTGCAACCGTGTTGGCGATAAATGAAGCCAGGGCGGCCACGACGAGGGGCCTCACCTCCCTCGTGATCCGCGCGCGCGGTCGCGACGACACTCGGTTCTCGATAGAGGCTACGGTCCTCTCGCGCATAACCTCGCCGCTGCCTAATGACAAGGTGGAGGTCCAGCCGTGGAAACACTTGAAGGGATTGCCGCTCGCGGATCCCGAATATTTCGTGCCCGGCGGTGTTGACATCCTCCTGGGGGCGGACTCGTTTGTGTCGGTGCTACGGGAGGGCCGTCGTAAGGGGGAAAGGGGAGAACCCGACGCCTTCAATTCAGTCTTCGGATGGGTCCTGACGGGCGCGGTATCCCCGTCAGTCCAAGCAACACCCCTGCTATCATTCGCGACTACGCTCGAGTCGATCGAGACATCAGTGGGTCGCTTTTGGCAATTGGAGGAGGTGCCGGAGGACGCTTCTTGTTCGGACGAGGATTGACGCTGCAAGGAGATCTTTGCCCAGACCACGTATCGTGACTCCTCGGGTCGTTTCGTGGTCTCGTACTCGTTCGTGTCGGATCCTCCTATATTCGTCGGCTCGCGCTCCATAGCGGTTAGTCGTCTCCGCGCACTAGAACGTCAATTTAAATCTGATCCGGAGTTCAGAGTTGGTTACAATAGTTTCATGCAGGACTATCTCGATAGCGGACACATGGAGGTAATTCGCAATCCATTCCCGTCACATGTGGCCCGATGGCCACATTTATTATTTACCGCACCACGGTGTATATAAACTCGATAGCACTACCACTAAGTTGCGGGTAGTGTTTAACGCGTCCTCGCGCTGCCCGAACGGTCTGTCGATCAACGACACCCTGCTCAGCGGTCCGAAGCTGCAGCAGGACCTGCTCGCCATCCTGCTTAGGTTCCGCGCCGAAGCAATCGCTCTAACCGCGGACGTGAAGCAGATGTTTCGCCAGATTTGGATAAGCCCGGAGCAATGCGACTACCAACGTATCGTCTGGCGCTTCTCGGAGTCAGACCCCATCCTCGACTATCTCCTCAAAACCGTTACGTTCGGCTTTACCGCCTCCCCGTTCTTGGCGATCTATTGTTTGCTCCAGTTAGCTCATCAATACCGCGAGAAATATCCTCTAGTGTTCGCAACCCTACTCGAGGCGCTGTATGTGGATGACGTCGTGACTAGCGTTCGTACGGTAGAACAGGCTCGTGCACTCCGCGACCAATTGCTATCGCTTCTCCGAAGCGCCGGCTTCGAGCTTAGAAAGTGGTCGAGCAGCCATCCTGCCGCGCTGGAGGGCCTCGACACGCAGTTATGTAGCAAATCAATGTTAGATTTCGAGTCAAGCGAGGATCAATCTCAGAAGATATTGGGCCTTCGGTGGCACTCACAATCTGACAGTTTCGGGTTTCAAGTCAACGCGTTGGATCGTGAGTGCACCAAACGCACTATACTGTCGGAAGTAGCGCGCATATTCGACCCCCTGGGTTTTCTGGCCCCACTCACCTTTACCGCGAAGTGCTTAATTCAGCGTCTGTGGACCCTTAAATTAGATTGGGATGATGAGCCACCGATGGACATTCATCGCAGTTGAAACCGTTTCCAGACGGAGCTCGGCGTGTTATCCTCCCTTCGCGTTCCTCGCGCGTTTAACTCGTGCCATGTAGTTCGTTGTGAGCTCCATGGGTTCTGCGATGCCAGCGAGCTGGGGTACGGAGCCGTGATTTATCTGCGAATCGTCACGCGCGACGGCGTCGTGGTCCGCTTACTGTGCGCCAAGTCTAAGGTCGCCCCGCTTCGCCCCCTCACCATTCCCCGTCTGGAGCTCTGCGCGGCTCTGCTCTTGTCCAAATTAATCGCGTACGTCCGGCGCATCCTCCGCGGACACTTTGACATTGACGACAAGTATGCTTGGACGGATTCCGAGGTCGCCCGGGCCTGGATCCGCTCAGCACCACAACGGTGGAAGACCTTTGTTAGAAATTGCGTTGCCCTCATTCAGGACAACGTGCCGGTCTCAGCTTGGGGCCACGTCGACACGGAGTCCAATCCGGCGGATCATTGCTCCCGAGGACTTTACCCTCGTGATCTGGTGGCCAGTTCGATGTGGTGGGCGGGCCCTGAGTGGCTTGTTCGCTTCGAACTCCGAGTTGAACCTTCCCACAGTTCGGAAACCCCTCCGACCGAGGAGGAGAAAATCGTATCGCTTGTGGCGCTCGATCCGCCTGACGCGGTACATTCATTGCTAGAAAAATTCTCTTCAATCGAGAAAATTTGTCGAATTATAGCATACATTCTTAGGTTTGTAAATCACTTCCGTGCAAAATCGGCTCCCACGACTTTGGCCATAGATCAGCTCGAACTGCATTCCGCGTTACTAGTAGTTGTAAAGAGTGTACAGGCGGATGCTTTCCGCGATGAGATCGATCGTCTTCAAAGCGGGGGAAGGCTCCCCAAGCCCCTTCTCAAGCTCGCTCCCTTCCTTGATTCTGTGGGTATTCTCAGGGTGGGCGGCAGGCTTGTTAAATCCGGATTGACATTTGAGAACAAGCACCCTGCCTTACTGCCCAGTAAACATAGGCTCACGGATCTCGTTATCGAACATGTGCACCGCACGAACCTGCACTCTGGTCGGCGCACGCTGCAATACCTGCTCACGCAACATTATTGGGTCCTCGGGGTGCATCGCGCTATCCAACGCGTACTCTCGAGATGTCATCAATGTTTCCGCGTAAATCCACACACTTCCCAGCCTCTCATGGCGGATCTACCGGCCGATAGGGTCCGACGGGCCAAGCCATTTTCGATCAGCGGCGTTGATTTCGCGGGACCGTTCAACATAGTTACGCGACGAGCCCGGGGCGTCTCCTCCTTCAAAGTATACGCGTGCCTTTTCGTATGCTTTTCGGTTAAGGCGGTGCACCTGGAAGCCGCCTTCTCGTTGTCCACGGACTCCTTCCTCGCTGCGCTGCGACGCTTTGTGGCCCGACGCGGACGCTGCTTGCTTCTCTATAGCGACTGCGGCACGAATTTTGTAGGGGCCGCGCGGGAGCTAGAAAGCCGCATGAGCCTCGCAGCGGAGCGAGAGAAGATCAAGTGGTCCTTTAATCCTCCCTCAGCGCCCCACTTCGGGGGCCTCTGGGAGGCGGGAGTCAAGACTTTTAAAACCCACCTACGGCGGACCGTGGGTGATCAAGTCCTCTCAATAGAGGAATTCACGACGGTCCTCGCGCAGGTCGAGGCCGTCTTAAATTCCAGACCCCTCTGCCCGATGAGCACCGACCCTGCCGACCTCGAAGTCCTATCACCGGGTCACTTCCTCACGATGGAACCGCTCGTCTCCGTTCCCACTCAAGACGTGACTCCGTTACCGATGAATCGTCTGAGTCGATGGCAACTCGTCCAACGAATACACCAGGACTTCTGGAAGCGCTGGCATCAGGAGTATCTCCATACGCTGCAACAGCGTCCCAAATGGTGGACTTCCGTCAACCCGCTCGGTATCGGTGCGTTGGTCCTCCTCAAGGACGCCAATATGCCTCCTCTGCGTTGGAGGCGAGGACGAGTGGAGGCGCTGCATCCGGGCAGCGACGGCGTCCCGCGTGTCGCCACGGTGCGGGTGGCGGACGGCACGATCACGCGTCCCCTAGTGAAGCTGTACCCCCTGCCGATGGGCCCTGCTCTACAGGCGACCGATTCAGATCGCTAGTAAAATACAACTCGTTGTATTTTGGTGGGCGGTATGTTTGGCGCTCACTAAACTGTAGATAGATGCATGTATCATACTCATTAGTTTAGTCTCGTTCTTACTCGTTGTACATAGTAGTCTTCGCATACCTAGTATTAAGTATTTCGGTGACTCGCGCGAAACGTCGGCGGATCGCGATCGACACGGAATCGATATTTGCGCGACTCACCAATCGGTGCTTCAGGCGGGTGCCCCTCGCTCACCCCACGAGAGCACCCGCCTGAAGAACAAGTACTCGCTCGCGACACTGTTCCAGCGCCGCGAGCACTCAGCACTCATCGTTACGACATCTCGGAGCACAGAGGTTTTCGCTAATATTCAGAGTCGCGAGATCACCAGCCCGCTCCCTGATAGTGCGATCGCCTACTTTCTCGGCCTGCTTGTTTGCTGCCTTTATCTGCTTCCTCCTGCTTGCTTGTTGCCTGCCTTGATTTGCTTGATGCCTGCCTTGCATTTGCCTTGCTTGCTGCCCTGCTTGCGCTGCTGCACGAGCCCGATCGTGACCGAGAGACGAAGCATCCAGGAGTCGACGGCACAACGAACGGTGAGTCGCATTTGCTTAACTTAATTCGCTTTGGGGAGACTTTACACACACCCCCTGGTCCTTCGAGCTTCGCTTTATCGCAAATCCGGGTACGGCTCTACCGCCCCTCGAGCAATATATATATTATATAATATATATATATATATATATATATAATTTATGAATAACTTAATCTTACTGCACACTAACAGCTTGCTCTAGGTTTGACATAATTACTGAAAAAATGATATATGCTTTCAGAGAAAGAAAATTTCCTATCTCCCTTATATAATACTCTAAATTGACCATAACCATTTACATATAATAATAATAAAGTTTACATTGTAAAAAAAAACACGATTAAATAATTAGAATTGGGTACTTAAAAGTTAAACGCAAGGTCCAGAATATTCTACATTGAATCAAATATACTATTACAACGTCGTCAACGTCTATATCACACAATAGAACAGATAAATTTAATGAGTAAACAGTACTCAAGGGTGATCTCGCTAGAATAAGACCACCGTTTACGCTACAAATTGGCAGTTTTCACTATCCTTCGAATTTTTTCTACACGCAAAGTTTGGTCAAATTATCATGAAAATTAGATTCTGCATACCTTCAAAGGTATGCATGTCAAATTTTAGTTAGAAATAACATTTAGTTATGTCAAAACAAGCATAAATACGTACCTATGTCTAATTCCTTTCTTTTTTAGTCGTGCCGCAAACGTCTGTTTCGCAGACCGTTGTTTATCAGTCAGCCGAAGGTTACCAATAGCAATCAGCGGTATTTTCGAATTGTATTATAATGCTATAAGGATAACTATAGACGATAGTAAAAAAAATCCACGTATGATAAATACAGACGGCTAGAGAAGCATTTCAAATTTTTTGATCCGAATTAGGATCTGATCCGAAATAGGCACTTTACCCTAAGTACTGATTTATTAAAAGAATGTTTCAAATAAAAGTTGGAGGGTTCAAAGGGTCCAGTAGAACTCCAAAATCTAACAAAATTGTCTATTGGCCCTCTTTAAACCCTCTAACTTTTATTATTTGAAGGCTTACCTCTTTCTATCTTTCTCTCTTTTTCTCTCTTTATCTGTCTCTTTCTCCGTCTACTTCTTTCCCTCTTGTTCATCATCTTTAACTTTGCAATATCACGCTACCCAGACAGCACAAAGATGTCTAAAAGATGACTAAAAGATGACAAATTTTCGGCTTAGATGTCTTTTCGTTAGAGCTTAAAGTCGACTAAAAGATGACTTATGTCCCACTAATATGTCGTCTTATAGCCGAAACTTTGTAAGGTGATAATGTGAATTAGGGATCCTTTAATGAAGGATGAGACAAAGCCGCCATTAATGGGAGCGGAAGTGACGGCAGGCATATTACGCGTCATTTTTAACCCGTTGTGGTCACATGGGGTCCACTGGACCCCAGGTTTTTTTTCTTTTTTTTTTTTTAGTATACTATTTTGAGAGTAAAACGTACAAAGTTTTTTTGCTCTATCTAAAAAAATTTTGATAAATATTTTTGTGAAAACAGTCAAATTTCTCGAGAAAAAAAATTTTTTTTCTCGCGTTTTTTCAACATAAAAAATTTTTTTAAATTATTGGATTATCAAGAGGAAGTCATAAATTAATTCCAGTTCAAGGTTTGAGTCGATACATAAAAAAAAAACGCAAATGGAAACTGTTGTGGGGTCCATTGGACCCCGTGTGACCACTACGTTATTTTTAGGAGGTGTGACCACAACGGGTTAAATAAAACAAAATAACTGTATCAAAAATATGTCTACATAAATTCAATTCTAATTGAGAAATTAATTCAATTAAATTGAAGTAAATAAATAAAACTTAATTAAATAAAATAAATTCAGTAAATTAAGAAATTGAGTAAATACTGATAAATTTAATTTATCACAAAAAGTTAATAAATGCAGTAAATAGATAGATAGATAGATAGAAATGATACTTTATTACCCCAAGGGGTCTAAAAGGGCGTTTTGTAGGGACGTACCCAACCCTGTACATCCAATTTACAATAATGATTTACATACATTCATACATCATTATGTTACATATAATTTTTATAGACCTATTCCTCTTCAATCCTATTCGCTGTCTCGTCCTCCTCGGTCCTTCGTTAATAGTTGGATCCTCCCTCTTCCTTTCCTATTCTCCTCCCTCCTCCATCTCGTCTCATTTCTTCTATTGATTTCATCTATTCTTCTCCCTCTCCCTTTTCTCCCAGTAATCTCCCCACCACATCTTGCCATCCCTCTCCTTCCCACTCCTCCCATCTCGTACATTGCT